TCAAAACGATCTTTGCTTGATTTGTTAACTTTTAGTTGATAGCCATCTTCCACACATTTTGTATACAAAGCTATCTTTAAGTCTTCCTTTGTATCAAAACAATCATCTTTCTTGATACGAATAATTTTTATGTAACAATCAACTGCTATCTTTACCAACTCTTCTTTCGGTATCTGAAGTAATTCTGGCATATTCCAGTTATACTCCCGTGGCATTTTCTTCGGGGACTTTTATTTGGGGATTTCTTCTTCAGTGTTATATGAATTACAGAATGGATGTTCAACATGTTCATTTACAGTCGTAACTTCCTCCTCATTATCGTCAACAACATCTTCCTCGGCAACAGCTGTTTCATCATCAAAATTCGGGTATTGACCAATATCAAAATTATTACACGCAGGGTTTGTTTCTTCTTCTGAAAAATCATCAAAATCCGAGTATTGACCAAGATCAAAGTCCGGGTATTGACCAAGATCAAATTTCGAATACTGGCTAGTACTCACAATTTTTTCTGTTGGCTCATCATCGTCTAACTGGTCAATACGAAAACCGGAATTTGGTGCTGAAAGTTTATTGGGATTTGGATTAGGGAAAGGTTGTGGGTTTTGAGATTGTGTTTGGTATTGGAAATGTGGTGAAACAATATTTGTTTGGTGATGAAATTGTGGTGGAACCATTAAATTTTGAGCACCATAAACTGGGGTTGAAAAACTTAGTTGATTACTACCCGTTACTGACCCAACTTCACTACTTCTAGGTTCAACAACATGCAATGTAACATCATCACTTGAAACAGTAATGTAAGCAATGAATCGTTCAACATCTTCATTGTCGGTTAATAAATAAACTTTACCATTTCTCTGATAAGATAGCCTAAATCCACTTAGGGGCTCTAAATTCAATTTATTTGCAACACGTAACATTAGAGTTTCATAAGTTAACTTTTTTAATGACAGTTTTAGTTGAAGATTCATGGGTAAAGGCATATATTGTAAAACAGCATGAACATTCTCCCATGACCCTCCAAAACACAAATCTATCCAAACATGATCAACATTAGATGATTTCATTATTGTAAATTAATTTACTAAACAAACGAGCTGCGAAACTAAAACCTGTTGCCGTATGGGGAAGGATGTCGTTGGATATAGGAACGGATGTCGCCGGAGAGAGTGATAGATGGAGATGGAATGAGTTGCGATTTAGGGATTTAGGTTATGAGTTGCTGCTGCTGCGTAGTTATATACCCAAAACATTTGTGTTGCAAAATTAAAACCTATTGCGAATTCAGAAATCGAGTTGCGAATTTGAAATTCAGTATTGCGATAGTCAGAATCTCGTTGCGATTTACAGATTCGCGTTGCGATTTACGGATACGCGTTGCGATTTTACGTATTGTCGTTGCGATTTACGGATACGCATTGCGATTTACGTATTCTCGTTGCAATTTACAGATACGCGTTGCGATTTACGTATTCTCGTTGCGATTTATGGATACGCGTTGTGATTTTACGTATTGTCGTTGCGATTTACGGATACGCGTTGCGATTTTACGGATACTCGTTGCGATAGTCAGAATCGCGTTGTGATTTATATGTTCGCGTTGCGATTTTCATATTCGCGTTGCGATTATGGAAAATCGCAATGCAAATTTGTACTATCGCATTGTGATTCTTCATAATCGCGTTTCGATTCTGGGAACTGATTTGCGATTATGGAGATCGCGTTGCAATTTTTATTTCGCATTGCGATTTTGTTGGTCATTTTGGCAAATCCAAAAAAAGTTGGTTAAAATCGTATATTATAAGACATTTTTGGTCACTGAGGCAATTTTCTCTTTAATATATTGGTCTTATTGTGCATAAAACCATTCTAGTTCTGAATGAAGCTTTATTTGATTTCTTTTATTGGATTATTGCATTTTGGTCCCTTGTGTATGCCTTTGTATGAGAATACGATGTTTATGCTTGAGGTCTTAAATCATGCTTTTGTTCATTTTGGTCACTACCTTTTAAGTCTAATATGTGAGATTGTATGGATTTATGACATATTAATCCTTACAATTTTTCACTAATCTAATTTAGTCACTTTGTTAATGTTTATTGTTTCTTTCATGTTTGACTACTGTGTTTTTATTTTTGATTAGTATAATCAATGCTTTACTTGTATACTTATACATTTATATTTTGTGTATATATATATATATATATATATATATATTATACTATTCATTATATTTATACACTATAATGTCATGTATATTAATAAACTTTATTTTCATACTACATTTATTCAATGAATGTATATATTTAATTAATATATTTTGACCATTATATATATATATATATATATATTACCATTTTATTTATTTATTTTAATTTATAAAATGCTTGTATGTCAGCATAGATTAGAAATATATCTTGCTTGAATATTTTCAAGAACATCTATCGTAGAATGGGTGTGAAAAGCACCACTCAATAAGATAAGTACAATTTGAAGACATTTGAATTAAAGGAAAACTTGAAATAAATCAAGCCATTTTTTTTTTGTAATTCAAAACAAATTAATCAATGTTCAATAAAACAGGTCATATTTTAAATTTTGACTTGAATTTGCAAGTTCCACTATCACAACAACATATAAGTGATTAGGTTGGCGTTGTGGGGGTTCTTACCCTTCCCCACTCGTAACCGAGTCTTGAATCATTTAAATTGAATTTTTGGTAAACGCAAACCAATTTTTATCTTTAAAATGTTTTTTTCTTAAAATTGTTTTAAAAAATATTTTTAGGTATTCGACCTATCTAAAACAAAGGTCGATGACGAATCCAAATCAAATCAAATTACTCCAAATTTTAATTTTATAAAAAATCTCATTTTCCCAAAATAAATTCATAATTAATTTTAAATTTAAATTTTCAAAAAAAAAATATGGTTATGACAGCTTGACGATTCCACTGAGGACTATTTAGAGTGTTAGACATGTACTCGTTTATATGTTGTTGTAGGGGTCGAAATAGTGAGCTCGAGTCCTTAATTAACATATAATTCTTTTTATTGAACATTGATTAATTTATTATGTATTCTTTATGTAAGTAGTTGTACTAATGCTTGAACTCATGTTTTTAGCTTCATTGATTTTCCCTTTTCGAAGGTGCTTCTATCTTTGTTTTGTTTCATGTCAAAGGTTTGTAAGTTCCTCCTCACACACGCCACGTGAACTGGCATGACATAAACTATATACCCAAGCTTCGTCCCAATTAAGTAGGGGTGAACACTATGCTTTCATGGTGAATTTATTCCCCATATGAGCTATAGCGATTAACCTCTAGGATACACACATTATACCTCCATGGGACTTTATTTCCTCATATGAGTATAGGGAAGTGGATCCCCACGAATTAAACTTGTTCCATTTGAAGCCTATAATGGGAGAAGATAAAGGGTTTGACAGCATAAGGGGGCACCAACATCAAGAACAATTCGAGTACACTTTTCCCTAGACCCGAAACCATGCATATAGTGAACCATAGAATGGTCACCCTAGGTAAAGCCATGTCGAACCTCTATCTATCAGTAGGTACCAAAATAAGTACACATAAAAGAGGAGCGTACTCTAACCTTTTCTCTTTACTTTAAAGTTGTAGGATATATTTACTCTTTCCGAATAAAAGCATGTGAACTAGATACCATGTGTCTAGGACTTACTTCTCAAAATAAAACATGTTGGATAGAAAGCATGTCTAGGTAGGATTACTATTTAATAAGAGCATGTTTGATATCATGATTGGGTAAGTGTTGTATTCATTTTTAAATAGCACTTTTTTCTTCATCGGTTATCTCACTTGTACTAACTCATTTCTTCTTATTTTTTGTGTCACTTTTCACTTTTTTGAATTGGATCATTGTTGAACCAACTTAACTCATTTTTTCTTATTTTTTGTATCAATTTTCATTTTTTTGCATTGGATCATTGTTGAACCAACTTTTGATTTTGATAGAACATGAACTTTTAAATGATTTAAGTTGTTAAAATTTACATTTCACAATTTTATAAATAATTTGTCATAAACAAATTTAAAATATTTTTAAGTGTGAAAAATAATCATAAGTGTTCTTGAGTAATTTCACAAATTATATGTATTATTCTAATGCTCAAAACACTTGTATTTTATCCAAAACCCCTCCAAGTGTCGAGACAATATACTAAAATCCTAGAAGGCTTTAAAGTCTCAAGACCATGGTCCTAATATCGAGATTGGTTGTTGAGTATTGATTCTCATTCAAACAATATCAATACAAAGGGTTCAACGACTATAAATTTGACCCTTAGGATGCTTGGTCTCGATACCAACATCCCGACATCGATACCAAATGTGTAGGTGAGCATTAAATGCTCAAAATTAATGATTACAACGACTCAAATCAATCCCCAACGGCTTTAAACGGATATATTGATGTTAGAAGACATAAAAAGGACTAAGATTTAAATTGAGAATAAGAATAAATTCAATTGCAAGATCAAACCAACATCAATAGAGTTTTAGAGAAAAATTTGTCAAATTCTTTGTGACTCACTTGTGAACTGCATTGTTAAATTTGCTCAAGTGTGATTTTTGGTGAGTGCTTAATTTTTGCAAACACACTTGCCTTTGTGAGGATTTTCTTTTGTTTGCTAAATTTGTAATTACTCTTTGGTAGAGTTTGTATTCATTGTTTTGGGGTATAAACCTTGAAGAGTTTTTAAGGTTACACATTGTCCTTAAAGGTTTGCAAATCTAGTGGATTTGAGAAATCATTAGTGTGGATAATAAGATAGTGGATGTAGACTTTGTTTTAAAAAGTTGAAACAATCTAAATTCCTTGTGCAAAAATTTAATTTTTGATATTTTCCACCACAAAGTTTTTAAAGGTCAATTCACCCTCACTTGGCTATTTCAGTTGATCGATAAAGCTAACAATTGGTATCATCCGGGTCACAATCTACGGTTTAACAACTTTATGAAAATCTTAGAAAAACTCTATCAACCGATAAAGACTGCTTCAATTTCTGGCTCTTACAATGTTGAAGACTCCCAATCCATTATAAGACCACCGTACTTCAATGGTGTAAACTATTCTTATTGGAATAATATGATGATGTTGTTCATTCAAGCTACCAATTACTTGGTTCGGTATGTCATCATTAATGGTTCACCTACTCCACCAAGAAACAAGTTGGAATGGACCAACGAAGATAGGAAACTAGCTCAACTAAAAGCCAAATCCATTCACATTCTATTTTGTGCACTTAGCCCCGATGAGTATAGTGGAGTGTCCTCATGCTCAAATGCTAAAGAAATTTGGGAGGTTGAAGTCACTAATGAAGGAACAATTCAAGTCAAAAGGTCTAAGATTGACATTCTCACTCTCAATTATGAGAACTTCAAGATGAATTCCAATGAAGACATAAAGACGATGTATAATCAGTTTACCTCAATAATCAACGATTTGAAAAACTTTGGGAAAGTTTATCCCAATGAAGAAGTAGTGGGAAAGATGCTTGACTCATTGCCTACATCTTGGGAAGGCAAAACAACCGTCATCGAAGAAGCAAAGGATTTGGAGTTGTACACCATCAATTATTCACCTACTCCACCAAAGAAGAAAGGATCAAGCAAGACAAAGAAGAAGGATTTTGTGGCTACATGGAGTGATGAAGGCGTCACTGATGAGGAAGAGGATGAAGTAGCCAATATTTGCCTCATGGCCATCCAAGAAGATTCAAAGGTATCTTCTAACTCATCTAATGTAAATTATTATACATTTGATGAGTTCCAAGATGTCTATGACGAATTAGTTTTAGAATGTGAAGTCATGATCTCAAAACACAAAAAGATTCATTCAAAGCTAAAAATTGAAAATAACTCACTTTCTAAGACTAATAGTAAGCTTGAAAGCCAAATTAATGATTTGCAAGAAAAATTAAATGTTTCTGATAAAAAGAATTTAGACTTGCAAAACTTACTTTCCAAAATTCATGAGGATAATCAAAGGAAAATTGACGATCTTAAGAAAGAAAAGACTAATTTTGAAAAAAAAATTATAAAAAATATTTGAAAGAGTAGATTGCTCCAAAACAAATTTTTGTCAAAACTGACTTTTACAATAGACATGCTTATTCCCCTAAATTTTATAAAGGAAAAATTTGTTAAGAGTATATGGTCATTAAAGGACTCATTGATACCGAAAATTTATACATCCTATCTCCATGGATACCTAAGGGGACTAGATTGTTCAAACTAACATGAATGGACCAAAATGATTTGGGTGCTAGAAATTGCATAATTGTTTATTGTAGGTGTGTTGGAGCTATGGTGAGCAAAGTCAAGCTATTTTGGAGCTCCAAAAACACACTAAGGAAGAAAACTTGAATAAAGGAGACTTAACCAATCAAACTTACTTCAAGTGGTAAATTGTTTCAATTTCATGCAATTTTGTATTTTTATGTGATTATATTTATTTTTGTGCTTGATTGTATGTTCCCTCCTAGTGCCCTATTACATTTAGTTAGGGGGAGTTAATATTGCAAGAATTGAATTTTTGGGGCCTTATATGCTTAACTTGATATCTTATGGCCTTAATTTTTTTTGGTATGTTTTGGACCTTTTGATATATAAAATAATTTCTTCAAATATCCATAATATACACTTTAGTAAATTACCTAGCAAAAACATTAAATTTATTATCAAATCTTTATTTATAGTACATAAATAAGTTTCTAGTGCATCCTGTAGTCTTAAAATCATTAGGTGCTTATTCCAGAATGCTTTGAGGGTTCAAAATGTCAATTTTGGTATTTTTAGGCTATTGGTATCGAGATCGGTCCATCGGTATCGAGATTGAAATTCTAGTAGCCAAAATCGTTATCGATACACTTTACAGTATCAATACCCTTGAGAGAGTCTCGAGGCCGTCTGTCTCGGTATCAAGACTGGGGGCCCTGTACGCATGAAAAACTATTTTTCATATAAAAAATTCCCAAAACTTTATCTTTTTATTCAAACTCTAACTGACCAAACTCAAAACTCTCTCAATATTCCTTATTAGAACTCATTTTCACTCAAACTTTCACTCAAATTCTTCATCCTTACTTTGTATCAAATGGATTTGCATCAAGGGACTCATCAAATTCCATCATTTTCATAAAAAATTAGAGGTATTTTTTAATGAACTAATTTACAAAAAATTTCAAATTTGTTTATTTTTAATGGTTCAAATTATGTTTTATGTTGTTTCTTACTTCTAAAATGGATTGCACTTCCTTTGAACATATTTCCATTACATTAGAAACATATTTTGTTTAAAATCTTTCAAAATGTTTCAACATATATGGTTTCAAAATTTGTATTAAATATGCAAAAATTTGTTCAACTGGGTTGAGTATTAGATATATTTTTGCATGTTACTCTTGTAGGAAGTTAACCCATTCATCATTTTTTTTAAACCCTTGTTTTAGGATTATCCACCAAGTGTTCGACAAAATTTCTAAAAGAGTTCTCTATTAACATTAGCATCTTGTCCAATATGCCTCCTAGAACGAACCTAAAGCATCTTGGGACTAGTGGCACTATCGAACAAGGTCAATCCTTAAATATCACTAGTTTTGAAAATGCTTGCTTCAAAAAATATATTTTTGTCAATTTTAATTTAGGGTAAATTACGTACATGGTCACTAATGTTTGAATAAGTTTTCGTTTTCACCACTAATATTTCAAAAGTCATAAAATAATCATTAATGTTATCGTTTATTACAAATTGATTACTCAACATTAACAATTGTTAATGTAGGTGATGAAAAGCTGTGTTAACTGCTGATTCGGTCACTAACGAATTTTCTCAACCCGTAAGCCAAATTGGTGGTGGTTTTATACCCGAAATCCTTGTAGGCTAATGTGACATTGGCATGCGTGAAGGGCACATTGTCGTTTCTGGGCATCGTGATCACGTGTTTCTTGGTTTTTGTGTGGAGTAATCCTTCCAAGATCAATACCAATCGGCCGACGGGGACTGTGGAGGTGTTTCCTAGATTGTAAACTCTCAATTGAACCAGACTTTTCTTCTTTTCGCCGCTTTCGGTGCTTTTCTCCATCGAGTCTAACGCCTTCAAACATCCTTTAACTACGATGTCGATGTAGGTGAAGTCACGCGCCACCTCTTTTTGGTCGGACATTTTGTAGATGTCTATGGGTTTGCCTTGGAGGACATCTTTTGTGAAAAAGAAATACGCCACGTCGGGTCTTCCCCATGGACCGTAAACGATGAATAATCTAACTCTAATGAGAGAGAGTATGTAGACGTGGTTATAAGTGTGAGTGAATTCCTCGTTGGCTTTCTTTGTGGTGGCGTAAAGACTAGTCGATTGATTTATACAGTTGCATTCAGATAATGGATTCTCGATGTTGAGTCCGTAAATTGAGCTTGACAAAGCTTAGACAACGGTGAGTTGTGGATTCACCGACTTGGAAAATTTGAGTGTTCGATCTCACGTACGACTGTGGGTTTTGCAGGGGTAATGAACGTTGGCCTGCGCTGCCAGGTGAAGGATATGAGTGAACGGAACGACGTCAAAGAGCTTCGTCAACAATGCCTCGTCATTCAAATCTCATTCAACGATGAAAATTTGGTGCTTGCTGAAAAGATTCTGCCTCGTTCGTTTCAAAGAAGAATCATAATAGTCATTAAAATTATCCAAGCTGAGAACCTCATTGTCGTATTTCTTCAAAGAGAAGGAGATAGAAGAGAAGCGTAGGTCAAAATAATGGTTAAACGATGTCAAATAAGCAATAAACACACCATGTCAGTTTTTTGTCACCCACAGTAACGACTGTTAATGTCAAGTGACCAATTTGTAACAAACAATAATATTAGTGACCAGTTTATGACTTTTGAAACATAATGGTGAAAACGAAAACTTACTCAAACATTAATGATTATTTGCGTAGTTTACCATTTAATTTATTTAATAAATAGTTCTAAGTAACGAAATGAATTTTTTTATAAAAAAAAACTGAGTCATTTTGGTAATTCGAATATAAGACATAAAATTTCTAAGATGTTTTTAATCAAATTTGAAGTATCCCAAAAGGGACATGTTTACCTTGAAGCCTTCGTTAAATTATCATAAAATTATTTTTTAACCCTATTCATAACAATAAAAGATCCTATCAATAAGATAGAAGCAATAGAGGCATATACGATCAAGTTTGTTGGGCCAAATAGAAAAGGATGCTAAGTTAATATAATGAAAGTGAATGGCGGATGGAGGGTTCTCTAGTCCTTGCATTCTTTCCTTAGGATTTTTAACTTATTAGTTGTAAAAGGTTTTTGTTTACGTAATAATAGAATCAAACGTCAGTATTTCTGGGGCTGGGATTCGTAAATCCGAAGCCGGTTTCTCCAAAACTTGCTCCTGTTTCTTTCCCATTCATCTTCTTTCCTATAAAATATAGCAGACATCAAAGCCCCATTCTTCATCTCTCTCACACCACTTGCTTTATTTCTTAATCTCTCTCACTGTCAATTCCTTTCATTTCTAGCTATTTCTAGGTGAGTTCATCAGCCCCCTTCAATGGCAATGGCAAAAGAAAACGATGAGTTTCAGAAAGGAGTAAAACATCTTCTGGAGAATGGAGTTAGAAAACTTCCAAATATGTATATATTGCCTATATCAGATCGACCCAATGTGGATAAAGAGCAGCCAATTATGGCTAAATCTGGTCTTAAATCGTCCATAATCGATTTTGCTGAATTACAAGGCCCAAACCGGTCCCATGTCCTTAACTCCCTCTCCTTGGCTTGTGAAGAATATGGGTTTTTTCAGGTGGTAAATCATGGAATCCCCATCCATGTTATAAGAAGAATAGTTGACGTTAGCACCAGTTTCTTCGGGCTCCCACACGAGGAACGATCAAAGTACATGTCTTCCGACATGGCATCACCTGTTCGATATGGAACAAGCTGGAACCAGAACAAAGATGATGTCTTCTATTGGAGAGATTTCTTGAAGCTTGTCTGCCATCCTTTATCAGATGTTCTCCCTCATTGGCCTTCTTCCCCCATGGAATTCAGGTACAGATAAAACAACCATTTTGTTTTGGGGATTATAATAATATTCGGAAACTTTAAGCTTCCTTTATACGATTATTTTAATAGGGACTGGGCGGCTACCTACGTAAAAGAAACCAAGTACTTGTTTCTACGAATAATGGAGGCCATTCTAGAGACCCTAGGCTTGTGGGGTGCCAATAAAGATGATGGGATACTAAAGCAATTGGATGATGGAAGCCAGCTAATGGTGGTTAATTTTTATCCTCCATGCCCTGAACCTGACCTTACATTAGGGATGCCACCCCACTCAGATTATGGATTCTTAACCCTTCTTCTCCAAGATGATGTTCAAGGTTTACAGGTTCAATACAAAGGACAATGGATCACTGTTGAACCAATCGACAATTCTTTTTTTGTTAACGTTGGTGATCACCTTGAGGTGAGTCATAAATTCATTTTAATTTTGATTTTGGTTTTCTTTTTATAATTTTGTTGATTATAAGAGTAATATCTGTTTAGAATCTTTTTAAATATAACTATTTGAATCTAAAATATTTAAAGAACATAATACTCCTTTTTGTTTTCTTATTGTTGTTATTATTATCAGATATTTAGCAATGGGAGATACAAAAGTGCGTTGCATAGGGTGTTTGTGAATCCGATTAAGCCACGGCTATCGGTGGCGTCATTGCATAGTTTGCCTTTCTATTGCATGGTTAGACCGTCCCCCAAACTAATCGACGACGCTAATCCAAGGCGCTACAAAGATACAGATTTCGCCACTTTTCTTGAATACATCTCAACTTGTGAGCCCAAGGAAAAAAACTTCTTGGAGTCCAGGAAATTGACCTCAAACAATATATCAAACTGAACCTTGAAATTGGATATGTTTTTGAGTTTCTATTTTGCTTAACAGCAATAATCTACTTCGTATCATCTTTTTGGGAACAAAGTAAATCTGAGTTGGAAAATATCAAAATTCGAATTTAGAATATTTTTAAATACTCTTTTTCAAAATGAATGTATGATTAAATATGATAATTTAAATTGGGTGTATATTTGACTCGAATCTGATGATTTTGATCTATTTCTTATAAGATTGATTTTTTTAGAAGTTCATATTTAGACCTCGTTAGATTAGATTGAGTTTAGGATGAAAAATACTTGTTCCAACCTAAAATAATAGTATAATAACCCCTTAAATATTTATGGATAATTATAATAATATCATCCTATCTGTATCTTTTCTAATTAGATCCTTATTTACCAAATAAAATTTAAAAATTTATATATATATATATATATATATATACATATTTGTGTCAGGTAAGATTATATCAAATGCAAATTTTACCTAAAAACTCAGATAAAATTTATGAAATTTTCTTAAAGTTGAGTCAGATAACAAATAGGGGATTATGACACTTGAGTTAGACGTGGATGCAGCGGTGTAACTAACATTATAGGTTGAGCATGAGTTTAACTCTTTTTTGTATTATGTTAATTAAAATATTTTAATATAATTGTCAATATAAATTATATATAAAAATATTATATTAATAAAAATTATAAATTCTTAAAATTTATTTGTTCACATAAAAATTTAATATATATATATATATATATATATCAATAATAATATTATCTAAAATTGTGTCTAAATTTTTATTTTTAAAGATAAAAATTTATAAATTTACATAATAAATATAGATTTCTAATAAAACTATAAATATAAATTAAATTGAAAAATATTTTTAGAAAAACTTATCTTCAATTGAAATGAAATTAAAAATCAAATACTTAATAACTTGATTGAGATGAACATGTTAAAAGAATACAAACAAACATTAAAAAATATATAACTTTTATATTTAAAATTAGAAATAACAAAGTGAAATGTATTTTCATTTATTTTAAAAAGGATAATACAAAAAGTGGATGTGAACTTGTAATAAATTATATTTAAATTGTTTCTAAATTTTAAAGTAACAAGTATATTTTTTAGATAATCAAATCTAATAATTTATTATACACATTTTTAAGGAACCAAATTTAATATATATATTAATTTTAGGAAAACTGCATGTTTAATACCTAAATTATTGCTTGTATTCTATTTTAATATGTAAACTTTACTTTTATAAAATCATACCTAACGATTAGTTTATGTTTCAATTTGGTACCCTACCGTTAAAATATTAATAAAAATTATTGATGTGTTATTTTTTTTAAAGTTTTTTCAATGATGATGTGGTATTACCTTACGGTGACATGTCAACATCATCCTTAAGTTTTTAACGACGATTACAAAATTGAAACTTAAACTAAACGTTAAGCATAGTTTTGAAAAAAAAATAAAGTTTGGATACCAAAATGAAACAAAAATGACAGTTTAGGTACTAAATGTATAATTTATCCTTTAATTTTTAATTTTTTTGGGGGCATGCTCCCAATAGTATTTTTTTTCGTTGTATGGATGGACCAAAAACTCAATCTTACTCGATCAATGCCCACCCATAGTTTAAATTATATAAAATTTGTATTAATTGTTTTATTTCTCCTTGGGTCAACTCTTTTTCATTAAGGCCACGTTTCAAAGACAACCAAGACAAACGGGCAGTTGGACGAGCCTATAATATCAAAAGTGTAATATATTTCGATGTACTGTATTCTGAAGGCAAAGACAATGAGAAAGATTACTTAATCAGCTCAATTCTCTTATTTTCTTTATTAAATCAGACCCAAATTTACGAAAAATGCATTAACGAATGTTTATACGTAACAAGTATTCTATTAAGAAAATGAAAGCTTAAGATAAGGAGCATCCATAGTCATAGAAATAGTATTAACTTTGGAAACATTGGCCGATTTAGTAGCCTAATTCTAAGCTCTTCCTACAATAAAGAAGACTTGAATTCAAATCCTCTTTTGCCTGAAAAGATATTAATTCTAGAATATTTTTAATTTAATACATTATTTTTATTAAATTTCCAAATTTCAATTAATCTATTGTATGCATAATTATTGACTGAGTTATATAATGAGCCAACACTATCAATTTAGTTGAAAAAGATAAAAGAATACCCTCTTTTATCAATAGTAATTGATATTAAAATAACAAACTCATTCTTTTTATCCTTGTAATTAATATTATTATAACTGATTTATTGAGTGGCGTTAATGGTAAAGATGAGTGTTATTTTTATAGAGGGTTCGGGTCAATCAATTATGTTTGCAGAGTGTGTGAATGCATTTTTAATAGACTAAAAAAATCTGAACATTTAATACATTATAATCAACTCAAACTATTTAAAAATAATATTATAATAATGTTATTATCTTCTTATATTTTTATAAATATTTAAATAAAATAATTAAAATTGAATTCACAAAAAATGGATTCAAAAATAAATTAAGGGGAATGTAATCCCCCTCAGACCGATACGGTTGGCCCGATCCAATACAGGGTTCACATTAGGGTCATCAGAGCGACGCACCGTAAAAATCTCAGAAAAAATTAAAATTTTTGTTAAAACATGTAAAATCATAAAAACAATTTATAATTACAAACGTAAATTTTTTTACCAGTATTCAGAAATAAAACATAATTTCAGACTCGGATATAAAACAAATTACAACCTACATGCCCCCACTAATCATGCACCGTACTCCGCAAGCATCGTCGGTGGAACTCCCCTACTAAAGTCGATAGCTGCACTGGTACAATCCTTTTAACCTGAAATGGTGAGTAACAGAGTGAGCTTTGGGAAGCTCAGTAATACAGAATTACCTATTGATGCTACAAGACATGCAGATAAATGGAAAGCCATAAAATTTCCTTATTTAAATAGACATATAAGAGTTTTCGGGATAAGTTGAGGTTCCACTGATAGTTCATCGAGTAGAAGCCATGAAGATCTCAGTTCATAGAAAACATTCATAGTATCAAGTTTTCAGGAGATCCAATATGATGTCTAGTGTGTTCCAACCAAAACCAATGAAATGATATAAATCTTTTTAGAACAGTAATTGTTTACAACATATTTTTAAAACCATAGTAGAACCCTCCAACCAAACATCGTTATGCAGTTCCCCAGAACTGCATCCATAAGGGCTTACCCTAAGCACACAATAAAGGGAGCCAACCTAAGGGAATGCCTTGGGCCCGAGAGCCTACCCAAGTTTCACCTTAGGTTCGTAAGGATTTACCAGCTGGATCAGGGTTGAACCTTCATACTCCATAATCCTGCCCATATAAAAAAATCTAATAGAAATCTGTTTTAATCGTAAATCGTAATATATGGATCGTGATCCAGTAATATGACATAATCGTGATAATGAAATAAACCATATAACTAATCTTCACCTGTACACCATAAGTATTCCCATGATTAACCCAAGGGAGTGCCTTGGGGCTTGAGAGCCTACCCAAGGGCCACCTTAGGTCCGTAAGGATTTACCAGCTTGATTAGAGTTGTACCTCCACACTCCAGCCTACCCAGATAATATGCCAATAAAACAGTTCGAGTATAACCAATGAAAACAGGAAACCATAGTTCATAAACCAGTAAATTCCATGATTCCATAAATCAGGAACAATTTTATATTTTTCGGCGAAAACCGTAATTGGAGAACACATACCATGTTTCCTTGGTTCATAAACCAGTAAATCAATAATTTCATTAAAACTCATTTCAAAAAATATAAAACCGTCATGTAGTACATGTGGAACACACTAGAGGATCCAAGTATTTTTCATAAGCATTGAATAGTTATTAGGAAAACGTGAAACTTATATACTTTGATTGGATTCCAGGAACGAAGTCCAATTAAAGGGATCAATTACTAATGGATCTAATTAGACATTTAAACTTGATACTTTAGAATCTCACTATAATTTAGGTGCATCAAGAAGGTGTTCAGGAGCCTTTATACATAATAAATCTAGATTCAGATTTACTGAGAGTGATTCCATTTCTCAACAATCAGAGGTATTCAGGATTATGAATTGAATTATCAGAATTTAAAGTCCAATTAAACCAAAAGAGGTATTCAGGATCATTTGCATCTAAGTTATTTGTGTGATTAGATATGACCGGAGTGATTTGAGCTGATAAGGGAGAAATGAAGGTTCAGGACATTTACAATATGTTTTGATATTTCAGATTATCAAAATAAATCGAGCTGAACAACTCCCAGAACTAATACATGTCGACTGGTCAATTCCTTGCCCTTCCAAGGTATTCATTCTTTAATACTAACACTTCTTGTCCATATATCATCTTCAGAATCATCACTGAATAGATCTTAAGGAGAAAAATAGATATTCCAATGGTCTTTATTTTATTTCCACATTGCAACAATATCATGAATTGTTGATGTACTTTAATTCGTGGTTTCTAACCCATAGGGATAATACAACATATAAGATCGTCAGTGTTTCCATACTTATCCAAGTTATTCAATTAATTCAAGGTCATCGGTGTACTTAATTCAATTAGTAGTCAAATTTATCATGGTTGCTTAAGAGTTTCCTGAGTAATTCAGTCGTTTCTGCAAATTCGAATACATACAGTACTTCCATTCCATTTAACTTGGTCAAATAATATAGTTATATTGGTATTCGAGGTTGATTTAATCATTTCAGATCTTGAGGGCATTAGTCATTCCAAGGCTTGTAAATACTTTAGGTCATTTTACACTTTAGGGATATTTTGGTCATTTTAAACTTTAAGGGCATTTCTATAAATCTAATATAGATCCAGAATTTAAATCGACGATCCCAAGGTTCAAGTGAATCAAGATATGAGTTCTTAGGGTATTATTGTAATTTTACCCCTTAGGGCTATTTTAGGTAACGTCTTATCCAAA